CAAGTTTTTCTTATGAAAATTCTTAACAAATCATAAAAATATATTTAATTATATGATAAATTTATTTAAAAAATCTGCTTTAAGTCCAAAAAATGGTTTAGGATATACCCTAAAATCTTTTTATTGAAAAAATGCATAATAAAATATACCTTTCCTAACAAATCAGCTGGTATTAATAGCGGATTGTCTTTTGAAATTGCTATATTTTTTTTTTCTATTGAATTAAAAATTTTATTTTTATATTTTCCATTTCTAATAAGTGTTCCGAATTCTCCTCGCTGTATCAATTTCTAGGCAACCAAAGAAATATTTAAATAAACAAATTGACTATATTTAATATTATATTATTATCTTCGATAAAAATTGAATTTCCCATAAAAATCTTATTGAAAAAATAGCAGTCCAGAATAATATTAAACATTATGTTATCGCAATTATATTAGGGGGTTCATAGTTTATTTTATATTTTTGAATCAGACAAACCCCAATTACAAAGATAAATCGAATACATTACAATTTTACAAAATTATAATTTATAGATTTGCTAATAAATATTAATAAAATTATAGTTACCAATTTTTCTGAAATAATTTTATCATTTTTATTCGTTTTTCGATACGTGCGTTTTTTTGGAATAATGGAATTTGTTGGATAAATATTTTCGTTAATAATTGCTGCAAATTAAATATCATTTTAATAATTATTAATTAAATAATCAATTTCGAAAAAGTTTTTATCATTAAAATAGTTAAATTAAACTTATTATAAATTTTTCTAATATTTTATATTAAAAAACTTTTTCTCTATTCGAAATAATTAGTTTAATTATTAATCTTAATAGTATTTACAGATAATTCTTCCATCTTTAGTTGACTTTTTTGATATTTGTCTTTTATTTGGATTATTTAAAACACAATTGGAATGCATGAAACGACGATTCCATATTTCTTCAACTCTGCGTATGACCTTATGTAAGTTTGTTTCATTTGTTTGACCAAAAAAATTATTTTTACTTGCCATATCAATAACTAATTAAATAAATCTTTATACTTACACAAGACGATAGTTTGTTTTTCACAGGAAAAAATGAACTGAATTCAAATGTCGATAAAATCAACATTTGTCAAGGAAACTTAATTGTAATAATTCATTAAAAAAATGTATAAGCCAATTATAAATAAATTTAGTATAAACAATACTTATTTATTTTTATTTTATTATTGGTCAAAGAATACAATATTTTAAGAATTTATTTCAGAGATTTATCTATATATACAGAGTGGTATTTTATCATAACTCACTCAATTACTTACTGAGTAATAATAATTAAAAAATTTTTTTTTTGGTTTTCTTTAGTTACACATTATTCTTGAATTATTAACTATTTAAAACTTTTTATGTTCATCCCTTATGCCTTGTAAGGGTGTCAACTTTGTTTTTTTAAATGGAAACACATATTTTGAATTTAAAAAAATGTTTGAGTTTTTAATTTAATAGTAAATGGCATTTGAATTTTCAGNAAAAAATGTTTGAGTTTTTAATTTAATAGTAAATGGCATTTGAATTTTCAGTATAATTTTATTTGTTTATTAGATATAAACACTTAAAATTTCAAAATTTTGAGTAATATACATGTATAATACACAACGGATTACAAATGCAGGTAGACAATTGGTTTTTTATGACATCGATATTAGCAGGTACACAGCATAGTTATTATCAATGGTAGTAAGGCACATTATTGTGAATTTATAAATACACCAACTGACAGTACAGAAAGTATATCTATGATAGTCATAATTGATAATAAACATTCCGTGACTGACTGCAATGTCATAAAACTCCAATGAGCTACCTGTATTTATAATCTCTTGTGTATTATACATGTATATTAACTCAAAAATTTGAAACCTTAAATGTTTATATCTAATAAACTAATAAGACGAAATGGAATGAATCGTAGAGGAGAGAGGACCTCAGAAGCACCGAAGGTAATCTCATTTCGCGCGGTACGTTTATGACATTAAGTGTTCATTTTGTGTATTGTATATTGTGTTTTAAGTGTATCTTTATTTTGTATGTTTTGCATTGTTTAATTATATTTATTACACTAGGATTGTTTCTTTTAAGATACAACAATACCAAAATATCAAATTTTAAATTACTTGTCAATTCCTAAAATAGTAATTAGAAAAATAGTAAGATTTTTTTACGTCAGTAAACATTTCTACAATTTTCGTTTGTAAGGTTCATTAAAAGTTACTAATAAATAATAATATTCTCAGCTTAGCATTGAAGCTAAAATAATAGAATAGCAATGATATATTCAGAATAGTTAGTAACAGCTAGTTATTAACTTTACAGGTGTGCCATTTACCGTACAAAAAACATATTACATTTTCACAATTGCAATAACTTTAATAGAAACGAATTTTTTTTATTTATTTATTTATTATATAAAAAATATTTATTATTAATTATTAAAATTAGAACAAAAACATTCAAGAAAACCTGAATTAGAAGAAGGATTGTTTCTAATTTTATAAATATAACCATTAAAGCATATTTTGAATAAAAAAATATGAATCATTAACTAGAGATTTTCGGACAATACCATGTATATTACTCATCTAATATATTTTATAAGTTAAAATAAATAACATCTTTGACTTATTTAACATCTCAGACAT